TTTTTCGGAGAGGTATACATTTTCCAAATGTTGAGTGTTTAATAACATTTTACTAGCCTGTTTTTTTACTTTATTATAATGTGAACTAAGATAAAATAAATGAACTATGCATTTTTCAATAAAACTCAAATTAAATACTTTAACATTGATTTTTTTTATTGATTTTTGATTATTCTAATTGGCGAATAATTAATTTAAGTATGACTGAATATATAGGTCGCAATTAACTGCCAGTTAATTATTATCGTTTTATCAAATATGTAAGTACCTTACGTGACGACAACGGATTCGTTATTGACTTGATAATCAAGGTTGGCTAGGCAGATTTCACGAACTGTGGATTAGGATACGGAGATCTGATGAATTTCTAATTCCGTGGCCAATTATGCAAAAAATAAAGAGTTCCTGTATGCTATTGAATAAGTTAAATATAATTGAGACTATGAGTGCAATATTGGACTAACCAACAAAAGTGAATTTTTATAATTAATGGGGCTATTTCGACCTTTTAATATTTCGTCCAATGTTGTAAGACGAATGCTTCTTATTACCCTTTTAGGGCATGGAATTTCTTTTATTTTATTGAAAATATTACACCGATCAAATGCTGTTATTTTATAACATTTCGATGACAACCAGAGAAATTTCCGGAATTTTTTCTCCTGGTCCTAAATTCTCGACATTTTTTCCATGGGAAAAAATTATTTTCCTATGGGAATTTATATTTTGTAGACCGACGACGGCCCAATCCAACACTAGTCACAAGGAACCAGAATAAACAGCCAAACATACATGTATGTATACTGTATAACTGCGAGGCATTGGATGGCACAAAACTGGCATGTTTTGGTCAACCGCAGGTTGATCCAAGAACCTACAGAAGGACTTGTACAAGTACAGACTTGTACAAGGGTCTAAGGTGACAGAGTGGATACTAAGAATTAATATGGGTCAAATACAAATAAACCATTAGGCTTCAATGTTATATTAGAGACTAGGTCAGACGAGCCCAGAAAAAAAGTTAGGTATATCTCGTAAAAAGTTTCATTTCAAATCTCTATTTAATATTTAATATTTTAAACGTTTAAAACATATAACATTTCAAGCACAAGTGTCGGAAATATTTTAGTTAAATATTTCACTGAAAATGTTTCTGAAACATGATATAGGTACATGTTATACAAAAGGTTACTAAACGGGTTATGTTGTAAAAGGCCAACAATTAATGAAGAATTTCTGATTTGTAAGAAGATGGAATATGTAGTTATTTTATTTCATCATAGGTCCCTGTCCAGCCACCAGCTAGAAACAAGCCTATATTCCAAATAATTATAGATTTGAGTTGTGAACTTGTTATATGGGAAGCAGAATATGTCTTTAGAAATTAAGGTGAGAACTACATAAATAATGCTTGCTTAGGTGGATGGATCTTCATGTTTTGTTTAGACATGAGTATTTTTTTATTTTAGTTAATTTAAAACAATATTAATAAAACTATTGTTAATCTAACAATTTGTATAAATCCTTTTTAATTATCTATATTTTGTTTCAGATTAGTGCATTTAAAGAAATTGGTGGAAATAAAGCAATTTGCCAGCTTTGGGGCTGTGCCAGCAAAAGTATCATCCAAGTTATTCAACGTTTCCAGAATAAAGTATTAAGGAACATCGTCGATGCATCCTGGTACTGCCGCAATACTGATATTCCTAGGGACTTTAAAGTGGAGACTGTTGAAAATACAATACAAAAATTTGCCAGTAGTCAACAACGACTGCTCCAACATGGAAACCTTGAAATAATCCAGCTCTAATAAGAAGACTCAAGAAAACAGGAATTTTGAGTTAGTTCAGTAATGTTAGATTAAAACAGAGTATAGTGCGGTTAACGTTAACGGTAGTGTAACTAAATAATAGAGAGTTTTAGCAAATGTACGTAAGATTTCCGCTAACGTTACGTTAAACTTAGATTGTGACATTTTTCATAAACATTGAACGGAGTAGATTACAGTCTATCCCTAAGGTAACGTTAGCGGATGGTTAGCGGCTGTTTGCTAAAACTCCCTAATTAGACTCTCTAAAGTACACTATATAGTGAGTAGAATCTTAGTTTATGAAGTTTTTCATCCCTAGCTAAGGTAGGTAAAAATAAAATTGCTAATTGATCTTAATGATTAGAATATAATAATCATAAATGTTTCTTTACTTGGAGCATTTATTAAAAAGAAAACCTAATTGTTTCAAATTAGTGCATTCAAAGGAATTGGTGGAAATAAAGCAATTCGCTTCTCTATTTTATAAATATTATTTAAAACATATTTATTTATTTATTTATTTATTTATTTATTTAAGAATCAAAGTTTGAGTTTTGTGTATTTTAAATAAACATGTATATTTTTAAATGTCTTTATTTTAGTCTAATAATATATTAGAAAAAAAAACTAGAATACATTTCTAAAATATTACTATTTAATATTTCTAAAAGATTTCAAATTTGCATTTCAGAAATATTACTGTGAAATATTATATGTACAGGACATTTTTACGTTTCAGGCATATTTCGGAAATATTTCTGGGATGTTTCGTAATATTTATACAACATTGCATGGGCGGTCATCCGCACTTTGTAAATAAAGCTTTACATATAATTTCTTGAAAGATCTATAATTTTTTTCGGGGCTTGTCCGACTTAGTTTTCGAAAACACTATCCTATTGTGCATTAATTCATTCCATACGTTAATTCATAATATCCACTCTCTCTTGTACATGACAAATTTGTACTTTGTACAGATCTTTGACTGAGTGTGCGTTCTATAGTGTAATCGACACTAATTCCCAAGAATTTTGACTATTTGGAATGAAACTTTCAAGGGTGTCTTTGTTTATATTTAACAAGATTAAGACACGAAGGAATTAACGAATTTTTGAAGGAAGATTCATTCTGACTATCGCATCGCTTGAAAACGGTCTACAGCGTCGGCTAATTGTACTCTTACGTTTATCTCTAGATTTTATTATATTTTGTGTTAAAGATAATTAAATTACCTGTTATATTATTTCTACTTAATCATAGTTTTAGGGCTTTATTTAGAGGTAGTTAACAATAGGCTCTTGGATCTGTAACCTACCGCACCCAGGTACCTTAATAATTTATTTATTCATTTATTAAATATAATATTGCATTCTTAATAAATTCAAAATCCTTCATTTAACGAAAAATCTCCCAGATAATTAAATCTTATTTACACCTAATAAATAATATCTTTAACCACGTCCGTAAAAGATCCAAATTTCGTGCACGTGTCTGAGAACCTAGACCAAGAAACCACCATAAAACATATTTCTTTTCACGAAGTAATTCTCATTAAAACACTTAACTCGCTTATCTTTCTAGTTTCGATGTTAAGACCGATTTCGACAATATTTCGATACACGAAGCTTTCAAGGCAAGTAATAAATCAGCCACCCCCTTTGCACCCACATTCGTATTTCTCTGGAACTAAGACACACTTTGACGTCACAAAATGCCATTAAACTGACCCAAAGGAGCTCGGATTGACAATTTTTTATTAATTGATGTGCAAGCATTTATTTATTATTTGTATCCAGTTATATTTCAACTTCAGTAGTCAGTACCTTTCCTAAAACGTTCTTCCTAAACAACGTCTATCCTACAATATCTCCTATTCCCCGAACGCTGTCAACGTTCCACGCCTTATTTCCCGACGCTTGCCGTCCCTAAATATTTCCTTCATAATATCCTTGTCGACACCCTTCGTCACGTCCCGCACCACCTAAATATGTCTACCGTATATCTGTCCCAATGCAGTAAGTACCGTATTAAATACCTTCCTCTTCACCACGACGCTAGACACCTCGACGCAAGGCGACGCTCAACGCCGCGACATACCTAAATCGACGCCGTCACAACGTTAGATTAAATTAGTACATAATCTAATGTCTGTATTTTCAATGGTGAGTCAAAAGATGTATGTAACTTTCTTTGAGATACCACCGGGGTTTCGTTTAAACGAGGACTTGACATTTTCTGCAAAATATCAATATAACCAATAAACCGCATGGTCTTCAGGTCATGCACCCACTTAGGATAGACATCTGTTTTCGATGGGTGAATTTTAAGTATTTCAATAGAAATTATAAAAATCAATATTAAGAAATATACAGGGTTGTATTAAATAATTTCAATAGAAATTATAATAATCAATATAAAAATATATACAGAGTTGTATTAAGTCATTTCGATAGAAAGTATAAAAAATCAATGTTTATAAATATACAGTGAGGTGCTATATCTTGGATAAATTGTACAATTGTATATAAATTATCAATTAATTAACTAGACGATAATTTCTACTACTTGAGAAAAAAGGCCAAATACAGTAAGTATAGAATTTAAAATAAAATAAACTTGTGAGGTAAAGAATAACATTTCAGAGAGTAAAATAACGAACACAAATAGGGGGTACCGGGGGTGGGCCGTCACAGATCTTTATGTGGTTGTCCAAAAAGTGCATGTCTCTTGCGATCGAATGTTCTGCAGTTAGTTGCACAGTAAGATTAGGGAAGTGGTACAAATTTTTGGCAGTTTCTGGTTTCCAGGGATCGATTCTACCGTTGTGTTAAACGAAGTTTAAAATGACATTTTTACATTAACAGTCATTTTAATCTCCGTTTAACAGAACGGTGGAATCGGCCCTAAGATATCTACTTATTTTACATATTACATATTATAAACTCATATTACGATCTTAGCTAGACTCGGCTCGCTACTTGAAAGATATATTTTTAGTTCCCCCACGTAATAGAGCCGCGAATTTGCCGAAGTCGTTCGAGGTGTACTTAAATTTACAATTTGAAGGATAGGTACGTCATGCATTAGAGAATTGAATCACGAGAAACAATTTTACATTTACATCAAGCTATGCCTTAGTCAGTTGACATATTTTGACGTTGACGTCTGTCAACAAATATGACAACAACTGTCAAAAGAGATTTTTGTCCTATCCAATTATGCAAGTTTATTATTTTTAAACTTCAATTGAAATCTAATAAAATGAAATTAAATCTCATAAAAGACATCTATTTATACAATTTAGATTCATAAAGACGTTACAGTAAAAAGCCAAGTGTATGTTAACAAGAGTAACTCGTACATTTAAATTTAATCTTGCATATGCCAATTTAGATAGCACTGTTTACAATCTAAAAACTTACTGATTCTGCACTTTATTTCAGGAAAATTAAACAAACATGCCTATTCCACCAGTCGCGGCAGTCTTAGAGACTGAAACAGGTATAGTAATATGAATCATTAAAATAACAATAATATGTCATACAATATGGTTGTTAATATAAACAATTTTTACAGAATGTCGCAGCATAACAGATAGTGTTGGATCACATTCCGATTTGTCTGTGACGACGGTGCATACCGGTGGCACGATGACGAAAAGTCAGATGGATGTTGTTTGTGTTATTGATGTTTGCCAAACTGAGAATTTGTTACAGAGAAAAAAAGCTCTTGATGAAATTAAACAAGCTTGCCTTCAAATTGGAGCAAATCTGAGCCATGTTCAGGTAGATACTCAATTTATTTTTCAATGCTACACAACTCATTGACACTTTTCCCTATCATGAGAACCTTACTTTTGGCATGTAGGTGCTGTCCGGAGAAGAAGAAGGTATGCTGGTATAAAAATATAGTTTTGTTTGATTTTAGTTTGAAAAGTTGGATTTTGGAGAAGCAAATGTAGTGAGCAGCTTTTATAATGCAGATGTGGTAATAATAGACATTTCATTTCCTGCCCAACATGGTACTTTATTCTATCATCTTGGTGTTCGGGAAAGCTTTAACATGAAGCAAAATATTTTAATATATAATGATATAGATTCTGAAGTTACCCTAAAATTAAAGGTAAATAGTTATTTATGTCTATTGGAAGTTTATAACTAATATGATTTGTTTTAGTTATCATGTGGTAGTTATTTGTTTATTTCATATAATTTATCAGAAAGTTCGTGCCTTACAACTTGTCCAAGTGGGCGAGCAGATGAACCTACAGATTTTCTACATCAGAGATTAAAAAAATATTTACAAGATGTTGAAGTACAAACGAAGTAAGTTTCTTAATAATTTTCCATGTTTAAGACTATTTTAAACAAAGTATTTAATTATGTGTTTTTTTAGTCATTGTTTAGTTTGAGCTCTTTTTACTTATGAAAATATTAAGCATAAGTACTTGTAGGTATCACTATTGTAAACAAAAATCTTAGTTTCATATCGTGTGCAAATTAATAGTAATGACACAATTAATTTTTTTAAATAAAAATATTTCACAAATTATCTCAAATCAAAGCTCAGAGATGTTACTTTAAATCTTACACTGTTGCCAAGTCGCACAAAAAGTTTAATATTAAATTATTAGTATCAAAAGTACAGAGCAATTCATTTTTATTCGCATTCTTTCGGTGTAAAATTGGTAAAATTATGGAAAAAATGGCATATTTTTATTTAAAAAAATGATTTGTGTCCTTATTATTAATTTGCACAAAATATGAAACTTAGGTTTTTTACAATAGCAGTACCTACAAGTACCTATGCTTGGTTTTTTGGTAATTGAAAAGAGCTTAAACTAGACATTTATCATTTTTTTAATAGTTTTGTTTCCAATTTAATAGGTAGTTATTGTTAATTTAGCTTCTGATACACTAAATTATTGACTTTTTTAGCTAATTTTTTGCTAGTATAGTTTAGTACCTTAAAATTCAAAATAATCTTAATAGTCTAGAAAGAAAGGGTATAAGAAATGAAATTTTGTTAATACAAATTTTACCTCAAAGAAAATTATTAACATTGCTTATTTTTTTAATAATGTGCAATTTCGTTTAGTGGTCTACTGTGTTATTAATATCATTTTGAAGCTTATGATTCAATATTGAGTATCATTGTTATATTTTTGTCATAAAATTGTTTTTTAGAGCACACATGAAAGAGAAATTTTTAAGTGATTTAAAAAAGCTCAAAGAACAAAAAACAGGAGAGGAACTCAATGAAGCTTTGCTGTTAATGAGAAAACGTCTTGATGATCCTAATGTCCTCTCTGGTGAAGTAATTGTGAACATGTTGTTTTGTTTTCGTGATATCCAAGAATATGATGCCATGATTCACCTGGTTGAGGACCTTAGGAAGGTTCCTACTGCTAAAAAGTACCTGAATTCTTATATCATGTTCCTCTATGCTTTTGCACTGAATAGAAGAAAAAAAGATGGTGATAGAAAGAATGCTTTAGCTGTTTGTGAAGATTCATTGAAACACGTAAGTAATTAATTTGTAGATGAATAACTTTAAAGGATATAATAATAAAAATTATTTATGACATGTTTTTCAATCTACTACAATTTGTTGATTATTAATAAAAAATAATAGCATTGCATTGGTACATCTAAAAATAATACTTTTTGAAAGTAATATTTGTACTTATGTAGAAATGGCTAAAAAATGTTTTTAAACTGATATAAATATTATTTACATGGTATTTTTTTTTTTTTTTTTTTTGAAATTTATTGAAGATGTTTTAATGCCTAATTGTTTTAATCAGTGCAATTGTTATATTCTTGAATTGTGATAAATGGATTTCCCATCAATTTAGATAAGATTAAATTAATTAGACAATTGAATAGAAAAAAATAAAGGACAACAACCACAACCTTGATAACTAAATTAAATAAACAAAATGAATTTTTTCTGATAACAGGAAATTTCTCAAAAAACAATTTGAGACATAAACAGTAAATGGGATTCATTTGCTACAGAAAAGTTATAAGTGAAACAACTATTGAAAAACTATCCCTTAGAACTTAGTCTTTCTAACTTTATATCTTCAAATGTCGCCTGTCATTTTTTTTGTGTATTTGTCCAAAATAGGAATCATTGATCAGTCCAACATAGGCTCTCCAGACCTATGGTTTTTACTGCATATCCTCACCTAGTACTTGTAAGCTGTGATACGCTACTATTCCACTTTGAGAAAAGATAGAACTATTTTTTTTTAATCTGGACAGATTACTTGCAAAAACATAAAAGTTGATCTGATAGCAATTATTGTATAAGTTATTCTGCACACAATTTCAATAAACCACCTTTGAGAAAAACGTTTTTAGAAGATTGCATGTTAATGACAGAGATGATAGTCCTTTTTTTCCAGTGGTTTTTTTTTTCTTTGGGGTGTTGTCTATATGCATTTACTTTTTATTGTTTATTATATATATGATAATGCATTATACAAATTAAATTTAATATAAAAGAAAATACTAAAAATCATCTATGGTAAGAATAAAATGTTTCCAACAGAATTGCTGTTTACAAATGATACTTGCAATATCAGAACCATCTACATGTCAACAATATGCAGTTACCTACATGCTCGAATTTCCCTACACAACATTGTAAATCGTCAATATCACACAAGAAATAAAGTAAATAAAACAAATTTGTATTCTGGTGAGTCACAGAAACATTGACCTAGGATATTTAAAGAATTATTGAAATAAAGTAAAGGTCGTTGTAGTCTTGTTTATTTAGAAATAATTTAAAACATTGTAATAGGGCCTAAGAGTTTTGAGATATTTTTAAAATTACATAAATAAATGTGCAAATCGTAATAAGACACATACAGAGGCATCTAGGTAGTGATGTAAAATACCCAAGTATTTATTTTTGCGGAAATTTCCCGGGAAAATACTCAAAATGGAAAAATTTCTCGATATATATTAAATTTAAGCAGTTGATATGAAAAATATTTATTGAAATTAAAACATTTATTTCACAATATCTGAATTGTCTGAGTGAAACTGGTTGGACATTAGGAAATGTCCAATTGTAGGCTATGTAAGTAATTTTGGCAGCTCTTTCTGTAGTCAATCGATTTCTTTTTGTACTATGGAACCAGCCGAAAGTGCTAAAGGATCGTTCATTAGCAGCAGAAGTTACAGGTGTACTCATAATCCTAATTGCAACGTCTGCTAGTAGGTATATTTTTGTCACGGATACCTCTCCACTAAGTAAAAGAATTGATCTCTTCCATTCCTTCCCATATGAACCTTTTCGACCATATGCCTTCCTTATCTCTATAGTCTGCTAGAAGACCCCTAATTTCGCCGATTTTTAAGTCCAATCCCATTTTTGTAGCTGTCAATTTTAAATTCTATAGCATCCAGTATTTCTTCTGCAGTCAATTGATGACCTTAGGAGGATGGATCCAACATGGTTGCAGCTAAATGTAATTTTCCTATTGCAAAATCTTTCTTTTTCGCTCATTTTTTTTTTTTTTTTTTTTTTCAGTACCAAAGTTTCCTCCACTTTTTTCAGTGGAGACTGATCAACAATTGGCCTCAAAATATTTATCATTTTGTCAACGTGTACCCAAACTATAGAATCGTCAAGTAATAAAGTTTTTAGTTGTTATGATAGTGTTGCAGATACTACGTCACTTATCGCTAGTGTTTGTAGAACAATTTTATTTAAGCGAAGGCTCTGTAGGCAGAACAAATGACTTCGCCATCGTGTTTTTACAGCCAGTTTCAGAGAAACATTGATTTTCTTCTCTTTGGTGATTTTAATAAGCAAAGCTAGAAGAATATGACTGTTTTTGTTAGTTTTTATATCATCTGTAACTTTTGTCATAAATGTTTTGATATACTCGCAGCTTAATATGTCATTCCATACTAAATGCAGTAGGTGAGCAATAGCCTAATGGCACAATGTTATTAAATTTTTCTGTTAATAATCGAAAAGCTCCTCTCATATTTGCAGCTTTGTCACCAATAATAACCAGAAATTTTTCAGGCCCATACTTTTCTAACACATTGTGCATTTGATTTGACAAATATTCGGCATTGTGTCTGTTGGTTTTGGTAATTATAAAGTCGAAAAACCGTGGTTCCGGTTTGGTGATGACAAAATTAACAATTGACTCATTACGCAGGTTACTCCCTCCCTCACATTGCAAATGCAAATTGTTCGAATTTTTTAAATCTGCTTTTATTTCGCTCTGCATCATTACATCCAAGAAAATGTATATAACTTAAAATAAGATTAATTGGTTGTAACAATTATGTAACTATTTTTTTATTTTATAAATAAATAAGTGTATTTTTAGATGTAAAATAATATTTGTTGTGCAGGTTTAAAAATAAAACATTCAAAATCATCTACACTGACTTGAGTCTATAGTAGGGTTACCACCTTTTTGAAATACGATGCTTACAGGGGCTCCAGTATACAAAATGTCCTCATCCTTCAACTGAACTTCTAAAAAAAAAGGCTGCTGAGATTGTAAGAAAAAAAAATCCTCTTCGTCATTCACTCAGCTGATATATTTTTGTACAAACCATGTCCCTTCCAAAGATATGTGCTGTAAAAAAAGACATTTATCGTAATAAATTACATTTTAAGCTTTAAAAAGTCACAAGGACATTTTACTTCAAAAAAGGACAGTTGGCAACCCTAGTCTATAGCATGTTTTACAAAAAAGATTCCGTGAAAGTAATAAACCTTTAATAAATATTAATGCCCCGACCATGGTTACGTGTCAAATTGAATTAATTTACTTCTACCCCTTAGTACCACTTGTAAAATGAAAACAATTAATCCATTTGCGAATTCAATTTGTAATTTTAGAAAGAAAACCATTTTCCCGATATGTTATGCTTGTGTGGAAGGATATATAAAGATATGTTCACAGAATCTGATCACAAAGACATCAAAAGCTTAGATGCAGCCATTTATTGGTACAAAAAAGGATTTGAAGTACAACCTAATGAATATGCAGGTAATTTTGTGATTTATAACTCTAAAATGTACCTTAAAATACCTAACTCCTGTGTTTTTCGCTCTACCTACTAATTGTTTTGCTGAACTCCCAAATTACATCTGCTTCTAAAGGATTTGAAGTACAACCCACTAAATATTCAGGTAATTTTTAACACTAAAAATGTTTTATTTGAGTGTTTCATATACAAATACCTAACTCCTGGTTTTTTCCAATACTTACGAAATTTTTTATATTGTCATACAGTATTATCGTTGTATGAAGATAATATAGTAGGATAATGCAACAGTAAAAAGTGTTGGATGCAATCTCGAGCGCCATCTACTGACGATTTAATGAAGTAGTCAATTTTTAATGCTATGCAGATACGCCCTCTATGTCTTCTTTTCGATGAGGCACGTGGCCTCTACTATGTATCACCTACCTATTAAAGTTAAAAACATCTTTATTTATTTAAAAATAACAATTCATGATAAAAGACATACAAATGAAAAATGAAATGATGATGAAAATTTATTCCAGTTGACAAAACCGTACAAATACAATTTTTGGATGAAGATGATAAAAGTGGTTAAGGACCTAGGTCAATATTTTGGTTATGTGCAGTTATGTCAATGTATATAAACAATCTAATAACAATGTCCAATGTTTTAAATAAATTGAAAAGTTCCAAGTAGAAGGCAAAAAAGGAATAAGCTTCTGAAAATGTTGCATGTAATCTAAGTACTTCTAATTGGACGCAATAAGCATCTTTTACCAATAACTATGTCTGGAGTAAGTGTTGGAAAAGTTTATAACCATAAAAATAGCTGAATATTTTTATAGTTTTCAAAATTCGAACAAGCTTTGCTACAAAATTTCATCAAAGCTGTCAACAGTTTGCAAGAAATTGAGTTAAGGAACAAGAAAATCACTAACACTGGAAAACAAATTAAAAAAAATAGCAATCACAGAGATATATTAGTTACTTCCAAATATATCTTGGCTGTTGTTCATGAATATAAGAAAAAATGTTCTCTCGGCTGGCTCTGAGTGTTGAAATAAATCACCTTGAAAGGAAGTTTTCGATAGCTCCGCTCTTTAGGAACAGCTTAAGATGAAATCGATAGACCTACAAGTGGTCTATCTTTGGCTGACATATTCAGTTAGTCTTGATATTTCATTATGCAATGTTACAAGGTTCAACAAATTGTCAAAATGGTTAAAATTTATTTTCAAAATGAGTGCTCTTAGTACAGAATTCTACGAACGATACAATAATTATAAAGTCCTAACTTTGAGCATAAAAGAAAATCTTATGAACATTTTTTTTTATAATTTATCACTGTTTGGAAAATTATCTCTATCTGTAAATATTTGTATCTACAGTTATATTTAATCCAGGTTAAGTGTGCAAGTGTAATATTAAGTATGAACAAAATAAGCCCATTCTGTATATACATATGTACTCTAGTTTTTGGTTAAGTAATTAATTGTAACATAGTGATTTTCTTGTGATAGTACCTGATTTAGATTGTGGATTAACGTTTCTGTATTGAACTTTGCTGTTTAGTAATAAAAGAAGTCAAAACCGGAACAGGTGGTTTTATTCTGGAAAGCATTTTTAAATTGAATCACACACGCCGTTCGAGTGAAAATGTTTTAAGTAGTTCAAAACAACAATCACTATTTTTCATTGTTTATAGAATACAGCCTTTTAGCTCAGACAAGACTGATTAAATAAATAAATTAATGTCTTATTATTATTATTTGCATTTTTTTTTTATTTCGACTGGTTGACTATCTCAAAAACTAAAGCCAATCAAGCAAAACGTGAGTCACATTTCGCTTTTTCAGAAGAACAATGACGCAAGTGAAAATTAATGATTGAAATAGCAAATTAAAAAAAAATGTAATATGAAACTTACAACTAAGACGTTAAGGAATAGTTTGGAAATAATCGATGGGGACTTCGAGATAGCAAATTTATTTTAGTTTTAGACAGAACTACTTTATTTTATTCTTTTTGAAACAATTGAAGATTTATAGGCCAGAGAAGCGATTTGAAATCGGTACAACGTTCGCCCAAAAACGCTCTTAAACCCCCGTCCACAAAATCACTGTTGTGTAATTTATAAATATATTTACACATAAATTTACAAGTAAATTAAATAAAATATTTAAGAATAGTAATATTAATAATTGTCATTGTTTGAACCGAATATTCAGTCCAATAGGCTCTCGACCGAAGTCCTTTCCATTTTTAGAATATTATCTTTCAAATTCAACAATTTTATGTTTTGTTCCAACACGGATTTTAATAATAGTATAAATTGTTTTTATTTGAATGTTAAAAGTTCTTAAAACTAACTTTAACATATTTATATTTCCCATGCTGGCGCTTAGTGTTCAAATAATGAGACATTTAAACGAAAAAGGCTTATGAGAGCCAGTTGCCCTTTTTTGGTACACATTTGTGCAAGGCAACTTTACAAATGTAGAAAATGGACACACCAGCAGTGGAGCACACAATGATGGTATTTTAAAAAGGCATGTCACATATTTGATTAGATAATTAACTTGATATAAGTGCCTTCAAGACTTAAGTCATTGAGCGTTCAAGTTTGGATTTCCCAACCCGGATTCAATTACAGATAAAAAAAATTCTTTTTTATTTTGGAAAAAATATAATTAATGCAATCTTTCTGCTAAATTTTGTAGTATTTTGATAACAGTTTCGAAAAAAATAGTAGTAGTCGGTAACTGAACTTCACGAAATCCAAAGTTTAGCACTTAACGTCCTGAGCAATGAAGGTTTATGTCAATGTTAATTATCTAATCAAATATGTAACATTCGCATTTTCTATAATTTATTTTTTTAAGACGCCTTCGTTGCGAGCGCTTCATCACTGTAGAGCATGCAGCAAAGTATTTCCATGTTCAAAAAAAAAAATAAATGAAAAATTTTAAATTTTGCCTTTCGAAAATAATAATACTAAATGTGCTACTGATTCCGCTACCATAAATTGGTACTCGATTCGTTTTAAATGATGTTAAAATTGAAAACTGAAAATTAGTGGCTTACATGTTTTTATTACTTAGTATAATTTCACTAAACGTGTTTGGTATTATGTTATAAGTTTACCTAACAGCAAAAAAATTTGTTAGTTAAATTTTGTCAGTTCCGATCTTAGTAAAATTATATTGAATAATAAAATTATAACTACCTATATATTTACCCATTATTAATTTTTTAATTTTCAACTTAACATCCTGTATTTCAGAACATTTTATCCAAGCATTTTTTATTTTCGTCTATTCGTCTCATTTTGAACAATAATGGTCAGTTGTTCATGTCCTATTCTTAATTTGATACCATTATATAAAAGTGAATAAAAATTAACAGCGTAAAACTCAAGTTTTAATTAACCATCAGCGATCAATCCAACATCCAACCACAATATAGAAAAAAATGTTCCTTATTATAGTAAAATTCCACCCAATCTCAATTCATTCCATCTTTCTCAAACAAAAACTGGTTTATTTTATTATTTTGATTATTTTGGCATTTTATGTGACCTTCAAATACCCTTTTGTAATAATTTGCAATAGTAAATTGTAACTATAAAAATACATTACCGAAGACAAGTAGAAATGAAAAAGAAGATTTAAATTATAATTCATACTCTAGCACAGACATGACCTAAAGACCTGACTTGGACCACAAATACAGTATCGCCATCTACATTCTATGTCCATCGTCCTCCAATGATAAGTCCATAAGGTTACCCTACTATATTATCTTCATACAACGGTATTATCCTGTTTGTCAAACTCTTTTTGATTCATAGGCATCAACCTGGCGACTCTTCTCGTAATTAAAGGTGCAGAAATAGGGAAATCAGACGAACTACAGCACATAGGCATGGTGTTGAACAATTTAATTGGCAAAAAGGGTAGTTTGGCATCACTAATAGACTATTGGGATGTAGCAACTTTTTTTGAAATCTCCGTCCTGTTCCAACACTACAGTAATGCCACCCAAGCGGCTGCATGTATGTTTAAGTTAAAACCTCCCAACTGGTATTTGACATCTACCATTGGTAACATTCAGGTGCGTTTTTTTAATTACGATAATCAATATGAATACATATAAAAAAATATCGTTGTTTTTAGTTAATTGACAAGTTCCGAAAAAAAACTGACGAAGCCGGGAGCCCAGAAGAACAAATTTTCCATTTTTGGATGGAATTTTTTCTAGAGGCCATAAAAGAAGACCATGAAGAAGATTTTAGATTTCCTGCACTGATCTTGGAATCTAGTAAAGAATTGATGCCAAGTTACGTCTGTATTAATTTAGGTGCAGACCCTCAAACTCTTCAAGTAAGTAGCGACAGAATAAATATTACCTAATTATATTGTACAATACTGACGAAATTCAAAAAATGTAAATTATTGACAAAAAGAAACTTCAAAAAAACTGCTTAAGATTATGAAAAAAAAACCCTTAAATAAAATTTGTTTTCAAAAAGCAAAAAAAAATGGAAGACAGACAAGAGTAGGAACCAGCGACAGAACTAAAATATAACATTTATTACAAAAATTCAAATCTGCTTCTAAATATATAAAAAACAAGTGTAAAAATAAAAAGCACTTTAAAAACCGAAATACCAATTATAAAAAGGCAAAAACAAACCACTGAAGAAAATAATAAGAAAAACACAGCGACTGAAATAAATTAATTTCATAAAAATTTATTAAAAAAAAAACAAAAAAAAAATACAAAATAACCAAAAAAAAAAAGAAAATACAAAAAGCGGCATAACAACTAGAAAATAAAATATAATCCCATAATATTTCAAAAATATTTTTCATTTTCAAAGTATACTGAGCACCTTTTCTTTTGTCTGCATTTTGCCCTAAAAATATTAAAATAAGAAATTGTTTTAGGTTAATAATTTGTGTGACAAGAGTTTGAGGGGCGAATGTAAACAAATCCACGATTGGGAGTTCACGGCAAATCAAATAAGGAGCGTCAGTTTTTATAAAAGAGACGAACGATGTTTGTTTTTGTATGTCCACCATAATTCCGATGATTTCCAGATATTTTTTCCGTCGGAAAATTGTCGGTAAGTTTGATTTTGTTAACGTAATTTAATTAAAGCAACTAATAATAATTTATTAAGCTATTTACTAAAATAAAACGTCTTGTCTAATTATTTAATTTTCAGAGTTCATTATGTTTTACTTCTATTAAAGTAACATTTAACAAGGGGGTAACATATCCATTTCGGATAAAAGTAATTTTCAACCAATATTTAAGGTGGCCAGTTTTTTGCTGGTGCGAATATATTTCTCATGTAATTCATTATACTCAATTTTTAGATTTTAATTTAAGGACTTGTAAGAGCTTGCCAATTCTGGGCGTTTTCAAATCTATTAAGGAACTGCTCTTAATTTTTTTGCAGTTTGTAACCACATTTCTCCATATTCCACTCGTTTAAATTTTCGTTTATGGTACCTATCTTAAATGTATCATTCCTTGGTTTTAGTTTTTAGTGCTGTTCTTTTTTCTTTCTATATTCAGGATATTTTGCTTCTCTTAATTTACTTTTAGCCCAACTGTTGCACTCTCTAGAATAGCCTATTAGTATACTCTTCACACCAAGGGCAGCTCCAGGAGGGGGGGGGCTATGGGGGCCGTGGCCCCCCCCCCCCCCCCCCCCCTACGATTTATGGGCATTTTATTAAAAAAATATGCTAAAAAGAGAATGCCTAAAGGCAATGCCCCTTCCCCCCTAACTCAAAAATTAACAAATAATAATAACTTGAAATTTTTTGGCAAAAATAAATCACAAAGCCTATTGATTAAAAAAAATCTGAATAAAATGAGGGTTAATTTCGCGAAAACCGTGAGAGTAATCAAGTCTTATCAAGAGTACCTTTTTTGTAGTAAATGCATTAAGCAATCCAAATTTCATACTAAATTCCATTTTCTTCCAATGGCGTAGAATTTTTAAATTTGCGAGTAATTAAAAAAAATCAATTTGTACGCCTATGGATTAATATTAGTGAATAATTTTGATACATTTTTTATGTGGTATGTCGTATGTTTTTGTTAAGACCTTTTATAGACACCCTGTCGTGTTTAAAGGATCTCGGATTGTCCGTCCTTTACACATCAATAGTGGCATATTTTGACTTGTGTCAATCTTGCTCTATAAAAGTTTTCTGTTATAACGTCATATTTCGAATTCCAACACTTTGAAACCAGCGTACCACTTTGCAATAAAAATAAAGGAAAACAAAAAAAGAAGACATCACTTTTATTAAAAAGTAATCACATAAATTGTGTTAAGCCGAAATTTCAATCACATTACTACAGACGTGACGTCCCCTAGACACCTTTCTATTTACAATTAACAAATTTTTTGAAAAAATTTAATAGTTTCTCTTAGGCTGAAGGACCTCGGTCAATGGCCCTTTGTAACTCTTAAGTTTCAATAAAGCACTTTTATTATTATTTAATAGTTTCGATATATCACTAGTGTACAACAATGATATAAGGTGTGATTTAAGGGGTTTTTATTATTGAATACGATATCACTAAAATTTTATTGTATAATTTATTATCAAAGTGGTAGAAATTCTTAAAAATAACAAGAAATTAAAAACAAATATAAACATAAATGATTAAAATAAACATTTTATAAAAAAATTTCAATTTTGTGGAAAACTGCAACTTTCTCACTTTTTTTAGGTGGCGCAGTCTTTGCATATTTTCTTCATAGGCCATTTTTCTTTTCTTTTTTGAAGGGCATATCTTACACAATTATTATTCCTCCCAAAAACATAATAAAAAAATTTAAATAAAGAAAATTTCAAATTTAAAAATAATCACACTTTCACAGACTTGGCGTCTATTAGATACTCCTCGATGAATAAAAATGTTTAGCAGTGACATTTATGCTATGTATGCGTTGATTTTGTAATTGTTAGCTTCTGATTGATTTAAAGGTACAGAGATTCCCAATAGCATAGCTCGTCATGAAGGGGAACAACAAAAAAAATTACCGCCCGTAGTATGTCTCACAGACCGGTCGTCTGTGAGGCAGTTAATTTATTATTGTAATGTTTTCGGAATAATTATTTTTTTATAATTTTCACTTATAATACCGCTAGTGCCTAAATTATTTCCGGAAATTTTTTCGAACTCACGAATATTTTGAAAATTATCAGTCAGACTCTTAAAATATTCGGGAATGAGCAGAAATTTCCGGACAATAATTTTGGCACGTGTGTGGTATTCGATAAGAAAATTTTACACTGAAATATCAAAATTTCAAAACTTGACAGACATGCATTAAAACGACTAAAATCAAATTTGCAAAGTTGGCCATTGTGGCCAAGTTGGCGTATTAGTCATATTTGAAGTCATTTAGTCGACGCGAAAACCCTAATCATTATTTAAAATAAATATAGTGTATTTCTATCTATAATTGGTATTAAATAAAATTTTAACAATTGATATGGCAAATGTTTTAATCACACCGTCGCACAGTGCTTGAAACGCCCGAAAACCTGGCCAACAGCCTAAAAATGAAGTTGTCTATCCAACATAAAATCCGGTAGCACCTACTCTGCATCAACATTTGGAGGAGCAAGTCGCTCCCTCCAATATTGGCGGCTCTATGACGCTCCAAAGTGAGGTACCTCCGCGCTATTCGTGGCACGTTAAAAAGCTCGGAAAAATTGTTCGCACATCATTGAGTCAATAAGTTTTGTTTTACTTGTTTGTTTTCAATTGTGCTTGATGGAGGGTAATACGAAAGGCACGTACATCATTTACAATTATAAAAATTTCATGAATTCGTCATTTTTCATTGTTTGTTGAGGCGATAAATAATTATGTAACAAATCACACTATGTTTTTTGATTATCTATGTTTAACTGTAAATATAGTTAGGGCACAGCGAGGCGCCGAGTTACTTTTGTATGTTAGGGGAAACCTTAGTGAAATAAAATATCCAAGAATTGGACACCTTTCAGCACCTTCCTGACTTTGGCTTAGTCTAAAGCATCGAAATGCGGGATTAATTTCTGGGATTAAAACAGCTAATGATTTTCCGAAAAATGCGATGTTGAGGGAAAAAGCTTTACACCTGAAGCCACGGCCATGCTCACATGTTCTGATAGATCTGTAGTAAATTATGACGACGAGGCATCATCACTAGTGGAAATTTGGTACAAAATCGCCCGTTTTTTATACGGAAGGAGTTAAGGAAATTGTTAGGAATATTTTACATGTAGCGTTTGAAATAATAAACATTTAAAAATACATTTTGTAGTTTATTTACGAACTACCTCGAAAACCCAAAACGTGCAGTTTGAACATTGAATATTAAATTATTCATGTTATATTTTAAAATAATAACCATAAATTTGTAATTGGCGAGTACCGAAACCTCTCTATACTGATTTACGATAAAATTAAGCTAGTTTTTGTATTCTAACAAAATTACAAATACGTAATCAGAGACGCATAAAACTCAGAGACGCATAAAACTCTTCTATACTTATTTACTTCAAAGTTAAGCGTTTGTTTAGAATATTTTCGCCATATTAGATCCGTCATTTTGTATCTTAACAAAATACAGTAGAACCTCGATTATCCGTGCCAGCCGGGACCGAACCTTTGCCGGATAATCGAAAACACGGATGATCCAAAAAAAGCTCATTTTTTAACAGTTTATTTAGGCAAATACTTATGTCAAAGGAACAAAAGAAAGTAAATACATATAAAAAAAATAAAAGTTTTAATACATAATGAAAGAACGTACATTGAATGTACAATACATAAAACTATTGATATATCTGATTTAAAGTTAATTTAGTGACGTACTTTTTGTTGTCAAAACGTTTGATGGGTCATGATCAATGAATTAAAAATTGGTTACGAAAATCAAAATATTTTGAAAAAAGAAATGTCAAACGGAAATGAAAAAAATTTGAAAGGTTTGTCAGCTAGATTTGTAAAGATAAAAAAGGTTTTTTTTTTTTTTTGAAATTTACATTACATTGATTGTGAATCCTTAGGAAATATACAGATTAAAAAGAAATAAGGTAAAATTTATTTCACTTTATTAAAGAAGAAAATACCAGATAGCAGAGTAAGGGTAGAAGCATTTATTAGTTGGTATAGGAGAAAGAAGCCAAGGTGTGAGAGAGCAGAGAGAGACGGCGAAGTGCGGCAAAAAAAGAAAATCTTAGAAAATACATAATTTTATTGAAATTAATATTTTTTGTAAATTTTTTTAGTATCAAAATTAAATAATGTAAGCCCATCAAATATTCGAGTGGCCATCCGTAAGTAACCAGCGTCCATGCGCCAACATGTAGCCCCATCCACGGATAATCCGCGCACGTATGTTCAATATAAAATGCGCCACAGAAAATCCGCCGCACGGATAAAACGCGCACGGATAATCGAGGTTCTACTGTAACTACAAATTTTTAATCAGTGATCCATAAAACCCCTCTATGCGGATTTATTTAAAAAAAACATTTTTCAGAAACTATCAGCCATATTGGATGCGATATTTTGTATTCTGAGAAAATAATTACAAATTAGTAATTAACTGCATAAAAAACCCTCGTACACCAAATTTGAAGTCTTTTTACCTATTACTTGACTGTTGGCCAAGCTTTAATCGATTTCCGACCACTATGCGTCTCGTCGTAATATCATGTGCATGACAGAGCTTCTCAATTGTCAAAAAAATTTCCAGTGTAAATTCATGCAGGGTACCCACCAAGAAAAAAATTTCAGAATTTTTTTCTGGTTAAGGACGCGTTTTAAAATAACAGCATTTAATCGATATAAAATAGAGGTGTAAAATTTTCCACAGAATATTTTTTTTACTTTTGCAATATTTTTTTTCTGTTTGATATTAAAAATTTTGTTTTTGATAAATAAAGATAAATATTTCTTTGCCACCACTTTACAGTAATTATTGAGGTCATAAATCAAATTTTTTTGTATCCTCGCAATAATAAAAAGTGGCACAATAACAAGTTTGCTTGAACAAAATAATTTACACAGAGAGAAATGTTAACTATACATGGTAAAATAATGTATTTCACCAAACACAAAATTCTAAAAGTATACTAAACTATTTTCAATCTAATTTCTCACAACTTGTATTTTTTCACTTATGCCATCTTTGAACAGGTGGTTGCGATGTGTTGGGACACATCAGATATTTTTTGTTACGGTCTGATCCAATATTTCTATTAAAAAAGTAAGTTCAATCCTATTTTAAACGGTTTCAAATTTGATTTTTTATTTCAGAGAATGTTTTTACAAACTAATTCTTGAGTTAACTAACCACCAGGAAGGGCTTTTCGAATCTGAACCACCACGGGACATAAAATACGAATACGAACGTGATGAAAATGGAAAAAAAGTCATTCTCGGTAGAGGCACATACGGCGTTGTCTTTGCCGCACGTAATCTTGAGACACAAGTAAGTTAACACCAGAAGCAAGTACCCTTTTTTGTTAGACATAAGACTTTTAAACAGTCACACCACACTCGGAATTCAAGCAAAAGTCATATTGAATACATGCAACACAGTACAAAAATTGCAGCTTGCTTCAAATAAGGATTTTTTCTTTTACAGTCTATTTCAATATGTTCCCATTTATTTTAGGTCCGTATAGCTGTCAAAGAAGTACCTGAAAAAAATCTAGGGGCAGTACAACCGCTCCACGAAGAAATACGTCTTCATTCACAATTAAGACACAGAAACATTGTAATGTATCTAGGTTAGTACAATTTTTATTAAAATTGCAGCGTCTGGAGTAAGTATAAATAAAATTCCGCTTTATCCATATTCTAGGTTCATTGTCTGAAGATAATTATTTCAAGATATTTATGGAACAAGTACCTGGAGGTTCGCTAAGTGCCTTATTGAGATCCAAATGGGGGCCTCTTAAGTCAAATGAGCACACGATGGCTTATTACACAAAACAAATATTGGAGGGTTTAAAATACCTCCATGATCAGAAAATAGTTCATAGGGATATCAAAGGTAGTTAAAAATTATGATTATCTATTTTTTTAAATTATTAATTGGAAATTCAACTATTTTTTATACTAAATGTTGCACCTTTTTTTATTTCATTGTGTTGTTTTACAAAGAATACACACATTCCAATTTCCACAATTTCAAAAGTCTGCTATTTCGCTTGTGACGTCACTGGTTTAAATTATTAAATGATAATATATCCATTTAGTATAAAAAGAAGGATTTCTCTAAAAAAATACGATTATAAAATTGTTGAATTTGAAATTCGCACATAAAAGCATTTTAGTCGTATGTCAATCGACTGACATCACTCGAGTTGTTTACATTGTCAACTTCCTCCATAGTCCATAGTCTTATAGAAGCATGGGTAATTTAAGTGGCTTTAAATGCACATGACCGTACCACTCTGCACTGACGTTTAGAATTTGAATTTTACACCTGTCACGTTGCCTTATTTCTATTTTTGATATTTATATTTAAGGCTAAGGAAAATCTGTTTCGCAAAAAAAAACATCGAAATAATTTAAAATTAGAAAATATTTTTATTCATTTCTAATAATTTTCCTTGTCTTTAAAATTTAAGTTTACCAGCATCTCTGATAACTGAAAGCTGGCAACTATGCAATGATTCCGATTATCAGAGCGAGTTGGAGAAGCAATGGTGTAGATATGCACCTTTAAACTGGCCTAAACTACAAGATTACCGAAACATGATTTAACTACTAATTAGTAAAAAGAATCGTAATTGTTGAGAAATAAACTGATGGTTAATTTTACACATTAGATTAAGGCACAATAAATAAAGCATTTTCTAATTGCAAGACTTCAGTATCTCTTTTATGACAAATTTACGTCAGGATCAGTCGCTTCAAAACGATATTCAATGTGCAAATTAACTTTGCTCTAGTACTTACCATTCCTTTTTCACTCCTCTAGTTCTCTTCTCCTCTTCTGCAATAATTTGATTTCATAGATTCTATTAGCATACAACTGTCTATTACTAGTAAATTGTTACTTTCTGCTACTACAAAAACGATAGTGCGATGATATGCTGAAAAGTGCTTGGCTTTACATAGAAAGAAACATGCTAGCAAAATATGAAACACATTTTATTCAAATATAATATTTATAATATTTCTTAACCGTCCCATAGCTCGAACTTGACATTATAACATTTTTTGGTGTAGAAATAAAAAGTCGGGTTTAAAAGGGTTAAATAAAAACATGATGGTTCAAAATTTTAAGTTGAATATAAAATTAAACACTCCCAGTCTTATTTGACATAAGTTTGTGCATTTTGCTGTTTCTAATTAATATTTTTTTGTTTTTAGGTGATAACGTTTTAGTTAACACCTATAGTGGAGTAGTAAAAATTTCGGACTTTGGAACATCTAAACGACTAGCTGGTTTGTGCCCTAGTACAGAAACTTTCGCAGGAACTCTTCAGTATATGGCTCCAGAAGTAATTGATAAAGGTCAACGAGGTTAGTACTATTAAAGAAAACAATCTGAGTATGCTGATGAAACACGACATTTGGATTTTAGGTTATGGTGCTCCTGCCGACATTTGGTCATTGGGTTGTACAGTTGTAGAAATGGCAACCGGTAAACCTCCATTTATAGAGTTAGGTTCGCCGCAGGCAGCTGTTTTTAAGGTCGGTTTCTACAAAGCTCATCCAGAAGTACCGGAGGAACTTTCGGAAAGAGCCAGGGGTTTCATCAAGAGATGCTTCGAGCCGGATCCCGAGTTACGTGCCACCGCTGCTCATTTACTAGAAGATCCGTTTTTAGGTAATCATAATTGTTCTTCCTTTCTTGTTTCAGCGAAAATAATACGTTCTTTAAAGGCATACAGATCAAGCGAACAGAGAAAAGTTACTAGTTGCACCAACGTTAAACATGATGCAGAGAATGGGCATATGGCGTATGTGGCTGCACAATAAGTACCTTGCTCGCGTCAGATATTTTAGTCCCTTACTATATGTATAATTATTATAAAGAGTAAAACAATATCAGGAATGTATAATGGAATGCTGACATCTGTCCTATCTTCAAAAATCGTAAGAATTTTCAGAGGTTGCGGGGTAGGAGGAAATGTCTTCAGTGGCGGTCAATTTTAATGTTTTACATAGGTATTTTTTCCGGAGAACGCTATTCACGTTTAGCACCAATTGTTACGTCAAAATTAGCGTATCAATTTTGATGCATCAATGGTAACGTCGAAATTAAAAAAACCCAATTATAAAAATGTATAATGTTCAAAGGTAACGCACAAGTTTCGACTGTCTGATGAACAGTCTTTGGCAGCCGGTTTAGCTCGGAGTGGAGAAGACGTGGTCCGTTTAGTATGTCTTCTAGTTTAGCTGCCACTACTAATTTTCCTTAAGGCCACAGAAACTCAAAAGCTCCTTTTTTTATTTTGAAAAGACTATAAAACTGATTAAATTACGGGAAATAATCGTTTTGAATTAGACGTTTTAAGTAATAAGAGGCTAAGTAGGTGTAAAATAATAAAAATTCATTATAAAATAGACGAAAAAGCAAGATAAACAACAAATAGTCTTTTTTTTTTTCAAAAAAACTAAAACTTGTTAAATTACAGAAAATAATCGTTTTGAATTAGACGTTTTACGTAATAAGACGTTAAATAGGTGTAAAATAATAGAAATTCATTATAAAATAGACGAAAAAGCAAGATAAACAATAGTCCAAAATACTTTTTAATTTCTAAAAAATTCGAACACTGGTAATACGGAGAAACATAATTTTACAACAATGGGCGATTACCGACTATCACTGCCAATCATAGCAGATCACCGACAAATAGACCCTCCACCTTATAGTACTCGTCTGCCATCGTCCATGATGGCTGATTGTATATAGGAGCCATAAGAGTATCACTCTTTCCTTTCCCTCTTTCGATTTTTTTTAAGTTCTTTTTGGTAACAAAATCTTTTTTATTTATTTTAGTCATAGTTTTTATATTAACTTAGGCGATGATTCACGAAAAATATTTTTCGTGGAATTACTTTTAGGAAAAGGAGAGACTCGCGCGCGGTTTTGTGGAGAGGGGCACGACCTGGGGAAAAATAAAAAACCAAATAATATGCTTTAAAAATGTAATGTACAACTGTTGTCAAATTTTTAAGCAGATTAGACATTAACAAACGCTTTTACTATCGATCTAAGTAAACAATTTGTGCATTTTTTTAATCAAAATTAAAAAATTATAAAATTAAAAAAGAAGAACAAAATTAAAAAATAAAATACAAAAAAACAAATTCAACAATTTATTTCATTTTTCTATAGGCGCCATTGTCGTACAACTGCTACATTTTCTTAATCAAAATAAAAAGAAAAATAAGAATAAAATTAAAAAAGAATAAATTTTAAAAAATAAGAATAAAATAAAACAAATTTAACTATTTATTTTTTATTTTTCTATAGGCGCCATTGTTCGTACATCTGCTGTCAAATTTTCAAACTGATAAGGCATTAACAAACGCTGTTACATTCATCTAAGTAAACAATTCGTGCATAAAAATGAAAAAATCAAAATAAAACCAAAATACTAACGTCTATCGAGGTCCCCAAAATAAAAAAAAAAAAAAAAAAAAAAAAAAAAAAAAAAAAAAAAAAAAAAAAAAAAAAAAAAAAAAAAAAAAAAAAAAAATATTACATCAAAAATTTATTTTCAAATTATCACACAATTATAATCACTCAGATTCACTATAAAAACAAAATACTTGATATTTTCCACAAAAAAAAGACAAAAAGATCGATCGAGGGTACCAAATTCCAAAAAGCTAAAACGAAATAAAAATTGATATGTATTATCAAACTATCACACACAACTAACATGTGCTATAAAAAAAAACACAAAATACCTGATATTTTCCACACAAAAAAGCCCATAATCCTCAGCTATAATAGGAACACAATGGATGACATATACAGAATTTAGGGTGAAATCAAAAATCCAGAACAACCAATCGTAAAAAAAATTAATCATAAATTCTAGTAAAATTCAATATTTTTTTAAATTATTTATTTGAATACAATTAAGCCCATTCTTTCAAGCGTTCAAATTGTGTTTTATATCGTCGTTGACTTAAATAATCAATCGCCACCTATGGAATACATTTAAAATTTCTTATCTCACTCGATTTTAGTTTCTCGCTCTGACTGTCCTCTTTGTTATTTCTACTAATACGCTAGTTCAGTGTAATGTCATTTTGGTTCCATTGACATTTAATGCTAACCAAACTTTTAACAAAAACATCAATAAATTTGACATATACGTTTTTACTGTTTTTAGTTTATTTCTAAATATTGTTTACAGGTCATAAAATAGTTTAAAGGTATGTATTTGGTAACTAAATGATTGATTGTATATTTGATGTATGTTATCTACTTACTTTAGGAATATATTTATAAAAGTGAAAAAACGATATACTTTAGGGAAATAAAATGAACAAAACGCACTCAAAAAATCTACTGTCACTTTAATTGTCAGTGGAACCATAATTACATCATCACTGAACTAGCGTATTAGCACTTAATCTCACCCCTTCATCGCTGTTGTAAATCCTACAATATGCTGTCAAATTTAATTAATCTTAAATAATGTTTCCTGCGTTCTTCTCGTTTAATATACTTTATTAAAATATATAAATAGTGTAAAACGCATAATAGACTGTTATATGGTTACAATTTGATAATATTATTAACTAAATTTTGTACATGAAGAACTCTACCAGTTTATTAGACACTACGGCCTTTTCAAAATATTCCTTTTTTTTTAATCAAGCTACTTCTTTATTTTATTTCCCAATGAAAGACCAACTTGTTAGCTGATGATGGCCCTACAGCAATAGCAGTTAAATGCCTTTTGACTTTTACCATACTTTTACCTAATACAGTTACTTACCCTTCATAAGGCCATCATCAACCAACATAATGCTGGGCCACCATCGAAAGGCCAACAGTAGGCTTTTATCTTTTAATCGTCTCATTCATTTTCCTTTCAATTACAGCAGAAGGCCAGCAATATCACGGCAATTCAGTTTGTTGGGATACTCTAAAGTTGAATGATTCACTAACCCCAAAATAAATAGCCATAGCCATCCAATCTATCATTTCTCAATGTTTGGTAACCTCTACACCTTAACCTATAATCTTCCTTCATCCAAATTTCATTAAGTAGGATTATGTCTGGATTGTGGTCCTTAATTAGCATCTTTAGATTATCTATGTTTGAGTTAAAAGAACGAATGTTCCATTGAATAATGGTTAATGGATTGAAGAGCATAATAATAGATAATTAGTACTCTGAATCTTCAGAGAACTCCATTAGACCTAACTGAGAGAAAGAATTTGAAGGTCCTACTGGACCTGTAGGAGAAGCATTGGGTTGTGATATAGAATAAAAAGAGTTGATACTATTATCTATGAAAGTCATGACTAACTCCTTGTGTTGGTACGATAAGCTATCTAAGGCTTGAATAACATCTATTTTAATATTATTTCCTTCCTCAGGCCGAAAGGGAGACGATAGGGGTCGAGTTGGGAAACTGGATGATCTTCCCGATGGACTAATTAAGCATTCTTGATGCTTTTTCTTATCATATTCATCATCATGTGATCTCCTTCGTTTTGGCGTTCTTATTTTTTGACTGTAGGTGGGTAATCTTGTATTAGACAAGGCTTCTGATCTTCTTTGGGAGGCTGGGATACCATTTTGATTTGCATCCCTGTTGGGAAGGGCTGGAAAGTCATTAATATTAGGGATAGGGTTTTCTCTATATTTTGAAATTTGTTGGTTGGCTTCGAAGTAAGATATGTTCGAAAATGACATTAGTTGCTTAATTTCTTTTTGTCTATTATATTCAGGGCAATTAAACTCGTTGGAACTGTGTTGCGTATATTTACAATAAATACAATACTTCCTGCAAGTAGCATCTGATTCATGGGATTTACCACATTTTATGCATTTGGCCTTTCCTCTACATTGATTAATACGATGCCCATAAAGCAAGCAATTATAACATTGCATTACTGGGGTGATATATGATACAACCCTGACCGGGAGACCATAAATTAAAATTTCTTTAGGAATCATTTTTCCTGAAAAAGTAATACAAATCGTACCTGTTGGTACATAGAAGATTTCTTTACCGTATTCCACAACTCTTCTATTTAGACGTTTGACATGAAGTTTACAATTCACTAAATGAGTATCAGTTGCCTCTTTAATTTCATCATCTGTAAAAGATCTGTCCACATACCTTACAATCCCTTTGCAAGAGACATTGTGTTATGGAATAAAAACTTCATAACCTTTATTTTCCATTTCTTTATCCTCTATAAATTGGTTGGCAGCATTGGTAAAGATCGCACCAATACGGTTTTTCCCTTTTCCTACTATTTTGAGGATATCCTTCAGTTTCAGATTAAAAATGGTTTTTGCTATGTTTAGTATATGAAGATGTCCTAGATTATTTGTTTTTCCTTGGACATACACTTCGAAGGGGCCCGAGTCTGTGTTCGAATACAAGTTTTTAACCCTCGGCGGAGGATCTGGAGGATCCGGGGGATCCTTGACCCCCAATTCCATGTGGGTTGGAGGTTAAGTTAACCTCTATTTGTTTGTGTCACAAAAATATGTTTATATACAATTCTTTACTAAAAATATGAGGAAGAAAAAGGTTGGAAATACACAGGATGTTGTTATTAAAGCCCAAATAACAAAAGATTGTTAAATTTTCACTGACAGCGATGTTTACACTTCGGATGTCAAAGAAAAATCTCTAGTGATGAATCCTATTACTTTTCAATATATCTAATAGCAAAAGTAAATGAGTTTTCCCTTCTTTTTCCTTTTACATTATTATCCTATTGAATTTTAAAATATACAGGATCAGAAAGGCGGCAGAAAAATGTTCGTCTAAATACCGATTTCAACAGAAGCATATCAGTACCTGCGGAAAAAATTACTTCCCGATATCCCGGCCACAATAGTGCTCCAAATCAAACACCTACAAGTCCTGATGCAGAGTAAGTAATTGATATAATTTTTATTGTATTGCATGTTTTAGTATTTATGCATGTGTCGAGATTTTTTCCAATTGAAACATTTGAATGTGCTAACAATACTTGGGATCATTTTTAAATTGCAGTTATGAACGAAACAGAGTTGGTGGATATCATGATATTTATTATAAATATCAAAATATCGAATATATTTATGCCAAAATTTGATATTCATCCGTTTATGTTTCATTTAACTTTTTAGAAAATTCTTCTAGAGGGTAGTTCACACTGGTTAATAAGAAATGAAAATAAACGTATTTAAAATGTGTACTGATGAAATAGTTATTTATGAAACCAGTTGCGAAATGCCTTATTTTATGTAACGAGTGAATATTTGCGGTACGAGCAGAGCGAGTTATTTAGTTTTCAAAAAAATGGGATATTTTGTCGTGTATTGTATTTTAATTATTTTGTGCTGATTTGGACTGGAAAATATAGACCAAAACAACATTATTACTAGGTTGTAAGTTTAACCAAATTCTATTTTTATAAGTTAACCTGCTCTTCTTTGATTTAAACTTTTAATAATAATGTATAATATTGTCTTTAAAACCAAAAAGTTTTAATTTTATTTGTTTTATTTTCGCAACTGGTGACTTAATGAATTTTTCGAAACCAGTTTCATAATGTTCAACTTTATGCAACTGGTTGCGTAAAGTAGATTATTTTGACACTTGCTGATATTACAAACAATGTCAAAATTAAAAAAAAATATTTTTACAGTTTCCCGAGCTCTTTTAGCATTAAGCCATCATTGGTACGCTATAAAAGATTTACACACTTAAAAATACGTCATTCTTTTCATTATTTACGTTTATATTTTAATTTGCTTCAAATAAGAACTAGATAATTTTATAACAAACAGAAAACATGCAAGAAGAATATCAGTCTGATTCGGAGTAAATAAAAATTAATTTGGCAGCTTTGTCAGTCCCCAGTTTATTTCTAAGTTTAGATGAACAAGTCCAAATGTGGAAAAATTTGGTTCTAGTTCGGTATTGGCGTAGATAGGGGGGAAGATCAAGGGGATCAATCCTGCATGAGCCTACAAAAATTATGAATGTTTTAAATAAAATAGTCTTAATGTATGTATGTTTATGTATTCATGAAATTTTCGAACTTCTATCCCCTCCCAACGTAAAAAGATATCTACGCCACTGAGTCCGGCAGATAATGCTACTGCGGTCAGTAGCTTTGAACGCCTTATTTCTAAATAGGTAAATTTGTCCAATCAAAAATAAAATCCTTGTTTCATTTAAATCTAAACTAGGTGCCTTCTACCAAGTCATGAGGGGCGTGTTTTGAAACACAAGTCAAGCATAAATGGAGAAATCAGAGAAATTCCAGACTGCAGCAATCGTGCTTCGTTGCCAAGTTGTAATATTATTAACGAACTTTAAGGATGTTTAAATATTGGGTATATAAATAAAAATCATGATATATATCTGCCAACTCTGGAACGAAAGGAATTTTCGAGTGCTATAATTGATGAACTTGTTGATTTTACCATACTAAAATGATAAATTTATTAACACTATATTAAAAAATTAAGTTCAAACATTTTTAATAGCAGTTTTTTTTTTTTTTTTTTTTTTCATTAACATCTTGGGTATTATTAGGTAAAAGTGATTTCTAAAATATGGTACCATAAAAAAGAGATTTTTAAAAAAGTTAAAAAATGTTTACGTTATTGTAATTTATGAATCGTTTGATGTCCATAAAAGAAGCTTAAAACCAGAATTTCGAAATCGCACCTTGACATTTTGCGGTATATTTTTTTTAATTGATTTTCCACAAGAATTCATTGTCGAACATGTTTCATACAAAAGTTGTAGTTAACAATATTTTCTATAATTTATCTCATTGGGACACGAATAGGGCATCTCTCGGCAACGTTAATAACCTGCAGGACTTTGACGATCTGAGAAGATGGGTGTCTGTAGTCTGTAGACAACCCTCAGTATCAACCAGCAGGTTTTTGATGAGTTGTGAAGATGGCTGTTTACAGACATCCCTCAACGTCAACCAGCAGGTGTTTGACTGTTAATCTGCAGGACTTTGACAAGTTGGGAGGCGGGTTCTGTATCCCCTGGAGGATTAACAATGGGCCTTATGAGGCCTAAGTGCTTTGGAGGAACCCACCTTCCCCACCTTAGAGATACATATAGTTTATATTGCTACTTGAAACTAGTGTAGGAAGTTAGAATGTTCTTTTGGCAAAAAATATCCTGGTCCTATTTATTTATTTTTTCTTTGGTGTACGGCTTCAACATCTAAGGTCATTAGCCTAGTGTTCTATGTAGGTTATGGATTGTACTAGTAGTCTAGTACTCCATAGTGCAGGAGTATTAGTACTCTAATACTCCTACACCCCTACAGACAGGCCTTGTTACTGTTTCCTTGCGCCACTTTAGGAACAGCACTGTTAATTAGAACCCAACAGTGAATGGTCGAGTGGGGAATCCTACCAAGGCATCAGAATTAATTTTAAATAATTAAATTAAATAAAAAAATCCCGGCCAACGGTGGGATTCGAACCTGGGACCCTTGGATCCACAGGCAGAGACTCTACCACTGAGCCACCCACCCCCTCCTGGTCCTATTTATAATAAGGCAGCAATTAATAAAATTAATTTTATTCAGTAATCAAGAAAACTTTGTTCCCTATAATTAAAAATAATTATTATCTTTTTTATGTTTTATGGCTTAGGTATTCACCTAATATGCCAGTCTCAGTTTGTGATTTGATTTTTATTAATATGTTTTTGTGTAGGCTTTGTTACTGTTTCCCTGTTATAAAACTGTTTAGATTTCTTAATATTATTTGGCTATATGGGAACTCAACTTTACAAAACAAAAAAATGTTTTTAATTTTAAAACACCTAACATAATATCGTGTCTTGAAATAAAATAGATCATTCTTTCTTGGTTTCTAAATATTCAAATGCTGAAATTTTATTTTAAAACACATTTTGGCCAGAACGGTTCCATTTAGTGAACACTTGGAAAGGCAGCACTCATTGCAACCCGCTTTTCGTAGTCCTAGTAAATATGGGTGATCAATCTCTGTAACGAGATATATCGTTGGTCATAGTACGACAAGTGCGCCGTGTTGCCAGATCTACGACGTTCAATGGCTATCGAGGATCGGAATGCATTTTTAATGGATCAATAGTCTATAAACATTTAACGATCTTTCTTGCAACCGGCTGTGAGAGTTTCAATTTATTGTGACGATAGTCTAATTTATTTATAGTTTATTTATTTGAAACACACTATTTACAATTTATTTCAGACGTACTATTTAATTTATATAATACTTAGACACTAATTAACAGTTCTAATTTATTTATTACACTTTAACTTTTCATTACAATGCCCTATACTAAACTAAACTGTGCGCCGATGAGTCGGCTATTTATACCAAGCCAATTCCGTGCTCGTCGTTTCTTGGTGCTCCCGAAAATTTCATCTCTATGAGTCAGCGGCATATTCGTCGTTTCTTGTATATTCGAGACGCGATCCGACTGTTTTCACACGTCAGCGTTGCTTCGATCATGAATCGAGTGGCAGACTTCCAAGGTCGCGCGTACACAGGGTAGGCTTTAGGAATTTCATGACATTATTATAAGAGATCTTATCGATTTTATTTCAAATAAAAACATATTAGCTGGCAATATTTTGAAGGGATGCGACGCATCACCCGCATCAGTGGAAGCTGACACCGATACATTGTCCTGCAAAGTATGTCAAGTAGAGCGTTTCTTAGCATTGTTGTATTTCAAAACGCCTATCTTATATTAAGACAATTATTTTTCGTGTCTATTGTAAAATCACAGTACAACTATAAAACTGATATACAACTTTTGTACAATAATTGTACAAACAGGAAGAACATTACATGCCTTGCTACGCTTTATGTTAAAAACGGCATATCTCTAGTTTGCGAGAATGCCAACGAAATTATTTTTTTTTTCTTCAAAATTGAACTAAGTATAAAGCCGCGGCAGTTAAGCTGTGATGTATCCGGTCACGTCTTGGATGAGTGACCGCCGATCAGGGGGCTTATTCTCTAACCAGTGTTTTTGAAAGCGTCTCTCTAGAAATGCGACAAGCAACTAACAAAAGTGTAAAGTGAAAATATTTTGATATTCTCTACTTGCTGTGCGATTCGTATTTGGAAAACGTAAACAGCTATGCTGTTTATTATGTTTTTGATTCGTTATAATTTTAGAATTGGCCACAATATATTCTTACAGAGTTTGCTTTTAGACCATATCCAGTTGCTTTTAAACTACCGCGTCTATGTTTAATGATTAATGAATTATAATAATGTCAAAATGACATTCAAATCCTTACTCCTAACCTTATTTATTTAGACCTATCAGCATTTACGATTTATAATTATGACAGCTCACGACAAAAATGAAAATCACTTACGAATAGCGGAATCCTCTATCATTAGAGAATGCCATAATCACATACTTCTCGTTTTGGTGATCGAACTTTGTTGAAAAGTCCGCTTGGCTTTTTCGTTGCTATGCGTTTTCGGCTAAAAGTTAGAGAATAACCCTCCAGATGTATTAAAATTTTCATTTTAACTACAAATAAGTATTGAAGGATGGGATATAAATAAAATGTCTACCTCTTGAACCTGTACTATGTTTTGCAAAATAAATTACTGTACTCCTCTCTTCTCTAGACTATAGGCTCACTCATCTCTAAAACGTAAAAAATTACAATTTTGTAGATATTTTAGAGCCGAATAACTTTTACATTCACAGTTTAGGCATAAAAGATATTTTTGGGTCGCAAAAGCGAAAAAAAAACCAGTTATTTCCAAATTCGATGCTCTCTTCTTTTTTGCATTTATGATCGTGGCGTAGTGACCCAATGCGATAAATTATTTTAGAAAATATTGCTGACTATAACTTTACAATGAAACATTTTATACTACGACTCACCGTTTTATTACAGAAAATGCCACCCACCTAACGATTCATGAATTACAATCGCGTGAAAAGTTTTTTTTCGAAACCACCACTTTTTCTTCATATTTTTCATTTACTAATATGCACATCATTTAGTTTTATTACGTTAGAGATAACAATTACTAACACAAGTCGGCCAAAAATTAAATTCAAGCAGGTCCATCATAATTCTACTACTTAGGTTTTTACCTTCGTGGACGTCAATCCATATAACAAGTTATAAAAGTTATTTTAAAAAACCGACTTCAAAATCGTGCAGATGCCCTTAAAAATTAAGATTTTTGTTTTTCTCAAAGATCATCAGATCCTGACCAAATGTATACAGTGAGCATCATAAGTCTTACCCCCCCCCCCCCCTAACTAACTCGTTACTGGAGTCTTGTTAGGAAAATCGCCGAGACAGGTCGATTTTTGTTTTCTACAATGTACATTTTTGTATGATTAGTTTACCCTTAATCTCATTCCTTACTGGAGGGGAACAACCCTTTCGAAAAATTTAAATGGCATAGGGTGGTAAGTGATAGCTCATTTGAAAGGGGGTTTTATTCTCTATTCAACCGTGCAAAAAAAAATTTAATTTGCTTCATTACGTGTTGAATTATTAATGTTTAAAAATAACAAAACCTCACAAAATAGGAAAGCAACTAAACTAATAGTGACCTTCTAATGGCAAAAAGTCTTACTTCACGTCTGAACCAAAACCGAATCATGCAGGGCCGAATTTTAATTCTAAGGATGAGTGCGCTACGTTAATTTCCGTTATTCTGAAACAACAATTAGTCGAGAATTAATGAAGCAAATTTCAAAATTTTTTACATGGTTGAATAGAGAATAAAACCCTCTTTCAAATGAGCTATCACTCACCACCCCATGCCATTTAAATTTTTCGAAAGGGTTGCTCCCCTCCAGTAAGGGATGAAATTAAGGGTAAACTATTCATACAAAAATGTACACTGTAGAAATCAAAAATCGACGTGTCTCGGCGATTTTATTAACAAGACTCCAGTAACGAGTTAGGTAGGGGGGGTAAGACTTATGGTGCTCACGGTATAGAAATCGCACAACGTGCTAAAGAATTATCGCTAAAAATACATAAAAAAAATGAAGAGTGATGATTTTCTCATGGACCCCATCATTAGATATTGACCAAATTTATATGGGACCACTTCCTAGGTAATCCCCATTCTAACAAGATAAGAATCATGAAATCGGACAACTTAATAAATAATTATCGCTGAAAATATTATGCAAAGTGATTTTTTGTAAATCAGGGAATTTCGATTGATCCTGGAAAGTCAGGAAATTTTAATTTTTTGTCAAAAATCCGACGACCTGTCAAACAATAGCTGTCAATGGAAAGGGCTTGTATATCTAAGAGAATTGCGACATAGTCTTGCATCTTGGACGCTATTTTTATTCGAAATAGTAGTCGCCAAGCCTGTCAATCTATGAAAAATGTATAAGCGATTTTTTAAAAATAATATTTTTATTGTGTTTGACATAAAATATTTAAATTTAATCCATTATTCATGATTTCCCGTATTGCAAACCCCTAGATATACCAACCCTTCCCACTGACAGTTCTTTTGTTTGGAATACCTGAGTTTCATAGCCAACCCCGATTTTAAGAATTTGCATAATTTGGTCTTATTCTGCGGAAAATCCATTTTTAACAGACTCCAAAAAAGGAGGAGGTTCTCAATTCGTCGGTATATTTTTTTATGTATGTTTAGCGATAATTCTTTAACACGGTGTCCGATTTCTAGGATTCTTTTTTTTTTGTTAGAAAGAGGGTACTTTAGGGGTGGTACCAGATTAATTTCGTCAAAATCTAATAATTGGATTCATGAGAAAAAATCCTCAAACTCCATTTTTTATGTATATTTAGCGATAATTATTTTCCAACCCTGTCCGATTTCTATGATTCTTTTTTTGTTAGTAAGGAGGTGTATCTCTGGAGTGGTCCCATATAAATTTGGTCAAGATGTGGTGATGGCATCTGCACAATTTTGAAGTTGGTTTTTTAAAATTACTTTTAATACTTGTATATATAAAGTACGTTAGATGTTAAAAGCTTTTAAGAGTGAGTGCAAATTCGCAATAAACCACAATACATTTTGCTAATTTGCAGATATTTTTTGAAATACGAAAACTTGATACTTGCATCCATAAGTCCGCCATATTTGCAGATCTGCAAAGTTGCAGACGTTCTGTAATCTCACCCTAAATTTATAATTATTATATTTTATTTTGCATTCTTTTTTAATAAAAGAATATTGTTAAAGAATTAAAAAAACCTTCTTTTGAGAAAATTTATTCTATGTCTTTCAACACAATAATATTAAAACGTTGTTTAAAAATTTTTTTTGAAACTTCATTAGTTCAAAGCATTTTATATTTCCCCGTTCGCTTCATTTTAAATCCGTCTGGTTGGTCGCGTAGCCACGTCCAAATTTTTTTTCAAGTTTAGTTTCTGTCAGTTCGAATATTTGAAAGCGCATAAAAACTTTTTGAAAGGTTTTTCCATTGAAGAATTTGAAAATGAAATTCAGTTTTTAAAGGAATTCAGTTTTAAATTAACAATAAAAGAAGAACGTAGGTATTAAAGGAACACGAATCTCTAAAATTATGATGATAATTCCTAATATTCTGAATGTAGACGACTGGTACTGTAAATATATCAACAAAAGGTATTGTATTTGTTTTTTGTGTGGTTTTATGGAACAATCTATGTGCTATATAAAAAAATACGATCTAGAAATAAAATCATTTGTGAATTCTGTCGCCTGGTGCTTGAAATTATTTTTTACGACAAAACGCAGTGATTCTTTTTTGAAAATCTTCAAAGAAATATTGGGTCATGATTTATGTAAGTAGCTTTTGCTGATCAGATATTTTAGTATTTAATACACATATTTTAAAACCAATAAAACAACAAATCTCTTTAAATCAGTAAAACAAAATATCAGTGAATATCTTAACTTATGTATTGTTATAGTCTTTAAATTAAATGAATTTTCATCAATACAAAGCAAATTTTTATTTCGAATTTATTCAAATACCTAAATCAACCTAAATAATACAAATTATTGTCTTGACATTTAAGTTGTACCTTTTTTGGGTCTCCTAAGCATAATCACTGATACAAAAACAATATTTTTGTTCCTGTTATTTAAAAATAATTTTAAAAAAGTGGGTTTTAAATTCCTCTTTTGGTTAAAATAATATTTTGAATTTGAATATTTTAGATAAAGAATCACTGTTTGTTTAATATTTGAGTGATTAATTAAAAAAAATGGTATCATTAGTTGTTGCACAATTTTTTTTGTGTGTATGTTGCTTGTGGTGGTAAACAATGATTAACTTACAGTTGTCGTACACAATCTCACCAGAGTCGAGCCTCTTTACTACCACCTATTCAAATGCCTACTGCCCTTACTTTCAACAGGTAAATTAACTTATTTTCTATAATATCCTAACTCTACTTCTAATCTTACTTTAGACGCTTACGTCTTTAGAATAGAATGAAATGTCTAACATTAAGTATAGTAAAAGCTAACTCCATGAAACGATTTTTTTTCTGTAATATTTAATGTAATAAAGAAAAATCCTAAACTCTGATGTGAAAAACGTTTCTATATTCAATATATTATGATAGCAGGTAATCTTTTTCGCAAGAATTACTAATTTTATTAAACTAATTAAATAATAGTGCCCAATATTCTTTTCAATCTGTTTTTGACTAAAGATGAATCATGCAAATTCTAAATTTGTTTCTTCTTCGGTTTCTTCAGGGTGGCCACTTTCTGAATAGTCAGGAAATATTAATAAAATTAATGAAAAGTTTGGGAAATATATATCTTTTAAGGTTTTTTACTCTTGGCATTACATGTACATTTTATGCAGTTTTATTTGGAATTACGTGGCATTATAAGGGAATTACTTGGAATTATCATGGAATTACCTGCAATTACAATGACAGTACTAGGAATTACGTTAGCATCACTTGAAACTCATGCTCTTCAACATTCATTGTTTATACTCTTAACAGAAGATACTACTTAAATCATTTAATGTCAGTTTCCTGTCAGGTGCACTTGTTTTTAGAGAGTGCTAAGTATATGCGCTAGTTCAGTGTGATGTCATTTTGGTTCCACTGACATTTAATTCTAACCAAACTTTTAACATAAACATCAATAAATTTGACGTATACGTTTTTACTGTTATTAGTTTATTTCTAAATATTGTTTACAGGTCATAAAAAATAGTTTAAAGGTATGTAATTGGTAACTAAACGATTTAATATTTGATGCATGTTATCTACTTACTTTAGGAATATATTTATAAAAGTGAAGAAACGGTATAATTTAGGTAAACAAAACGCACTCAAAAAATCTACTGTCACTTTAAAGGCATTTCTTCATAAGCTTACCAGAACATATATACTTCTGTAACCAGAGCATTTCTTTATAACGTTTGGTTACTCTGCTTTGGTTACATGTTACCAAAGCATATGTAGCTACATCTAACGAGGCATTTATTTATAAGCTGACTAGAACATACTATAATAAAAAATAACAAAATCAAAACATCCTAAAATTTCTAAAATTCAAATTCCGTTTAGAAATCCCCAAACTTAAATTAAATTTGACATATGACATTCAATAATAGGGAAACCATGGTATGCGTAATGTCACCACAGTAACCACAATACTGTAACCAAGTATGTTGTAGTAAGCTTATAAAGAAATGCCTTAATTGTCAGTGGAACCATAAATACATCATCACTGAACCAGCGCATTGTCTATACTGCTGCCAAGATTAAACCTTCAGTTCTGCTTTAGTTGCCTTGGAGTGAATGTCAACAATACATCCATTTCTTTCCTGCGGATGTGAACAATATTTACTATTAATTCCAAGACAAGCAAATGGGGACCGAAGGTTTGATCTTGCCAGCACTGCATGGAACTACATGAGGATTCGGTTAAATAGGATAAAAATGATAAAAAGTTGCCTATCTAGAGCGACAATAGTGAGTAAGAAAAGATACAGGTCCGTTTTCGAGTTATTTAATAAAAACATGGATTTTAGTTTTTTGTTCTAGTGTTTTTATTTAACGATATAACAAAAAATCCAACTAAAATTTTATTCAAATTCAAATTGGGATCTCAATGGTTCGTTTTGTGGAACCACCCTGAAGTCGATTATTTTACATGAGGAGGAGTTTTTCTAATTTTTTATATTGTTTTTCACCTTGATAACAATGAAAAATGTAACCTATGAAGTATTCTACTATCAAGTTTCTAGAGCCAAGAGATGTTGAATTTGGTACAATGTTGATAATTCTATTATGATTTCAGGTCCGTAATTAATATTTACTCGTATTGATGGTGTAATTTTTCGAGGCCTTAGTAAATTGTTTTATGAGTGACATCATGGTTGTACTTATTCAGGAGGAAAAGTAGTATATAAAATAAAAATTCCAAGTACGTTTTAAAATAATTGACTAGAGGGTGGTTCCTCAAAAACGAAACGTTTACCAAATCAAAAATATCAATAACAAAAAAATAGAGTCAACAAAAATTTAATTGTGGATATTGCCAAATTAATGTTTTCTTTAATTATTAAATTTAATTAAAAGGAATTAGCTCTGGAATTACCTAGAAGTACTTGCCCTGACATTACTTGGCATTACCAAGCATTATTCGAAATGAGGCTAATGGCCGTAGTAGTCGACGCCGATGACACCAAATAAAAAAAAAACTAAGTAATGCCACAATTATGCAATCTATGTACGTTTTCTTGTATAGTGAAAGACACCTCTGTATAGCATTTAATAATGCAAGTTATAAATACAGGGCAACTATAAATGAATGATTTTTCTTACATGTTGTCAACGTTACCAAACTAAATTTTGAAATGCATTGCCAACCTTTAAAAAAAATCATACTCATTTACGATTGACATGAGGAATATGTATGTGGGGTGACAATTTAAAAACTTACAATGACTATATCTCATGAACTGAAGATAAAATAAGAAAATGCTTTAAAACGTTTCTAAGATAAGAAGGGGGATTTTTATGACAAAATACACTCCTCCCATCCCACCTACCTCAACAGCAAAAAATTGCAACCCCCTACTTGTCATACATCATTTGAAAGTTAGTAAAAAATGCTTTTCAACAAAGCTATTCTCTATAAAGGGTGGTTCAATAGCAAAATAATCCTTTTATTTTAAATATGTTTTAAAGGATGGCTTGTTTATCTGAATTAACTTTCTGATATCTTTAGTTCATGTGATATAATCAATGTAAGTTATTAAATTGTCACCATGTATATACAAAAATCAGGAAAGTCTGAATTTTTAGGTAAGAAAACATTTGGTTGGCCACCCTATTTCCTGTTATAACTAACTAAAGTGGTTTTTCTATTATTTTAAATTTTTCTAACATGGTAAATTTGGGTTGGATGCTTTAGGGAGAAAAAGGTTTTAGTTATTTAAAACTGTAGTTGTAGAAATATGGGTCTCTTTATTTTTTTATTCTACTTATTTTATTTTTATGAAAAACTTGGGATTTGTAATTTAATTTAATAAGCTTAGCCATACATTTTGGTAAAGTATGAAGAAACAGCAAATTCCAAATGCTCTTTACATAAAATGAATTGTAAACTTTTTCAGTGATCTAAATTCTGAATCCAGTAGTAATGCCACAGTTTCTAGTGCTGGCAAATGGTCTTTTTCGGAAATCGATTTGTGGATGTCAAGGTATGTTAATTGGAACTATGATTTAAAATTATTCTGACAATTTTGGGGTACTCTAAAACAAAATTTTTATATTAGAGCACAGAATATCAAATTCTTTATTTACAAAATATATATATATAGTACACTGGGTCTTGTTCCACTTTTTCAAGAACTGGAGGATGTTGTGACCAGATCCTTTATGTTGCTGTGTACTTTTATGTTTGTATATACCTTACCCAAGGAGGGAAGTTCTGGTTTGTATGGGAGAAAACTATAATTGAACTTGGCTGTCTTAAATTGTGTTGTCTTCCTGAAAAATCGTTACTAAAAAAATAAAACACATTAAACAAAACTAATTTAAGCCTTTTAGGAATCCCTATCAATAATTGCAACTAGTTTAAATTGCAATATATTCAAAACCGATATAAAAAATAATATTAAAACAATGTATTGAAGAAGTATTAATAAAACTTTGTGGTTAACATATGTAGGGCACATCGCGGTTACTTATTATTCATCTTGATTGGTATTTAAACTTTATCAATTAAAAGCATTTTCTTATTTTGAAATGTTTGATTGCCTGTATTGTAATTTTTTGAATATAGAAACACCTTTCAAACAAACTTTTATCATTCTACTTCCAAATGAACAGTAAGGTTAACTATAAAATAATAATTTTAATTAATTGTATTTCAAAATACTTGTTGAAAGTTATTAACATTATATTATTAGTAACATTTCAAGTAGTAACTTAGTAGGTATTTACGTTTAAAATTGCTGCAGGTGAACCATTATTACTAATTTTGGTAGATGCATTTATTTAAATTTTCTTTGTTTCAAATATAAAGAATCAAGTGCAAAGAATATATTTCTTAGAAAATATCAATATTATTAAAATTGCTCAATACCATTTTAAAATCTGACTCGTTAGAAACAGCTGGAAAATGTCATAATTTTGAAAGATTTTTTAGGCTAATAATCCACTATCCACTTGAATATTATAATTTTCTTTTCAACTAAAAGAACATTTCTCCTAATTTCCTTTCATTTAGAGACAGTTTTGGGACACTGCATTTTAGTGATAAATCATTTTTGTCAATTTTTTCTTCATATGATAACGGACTATTTTTTCCTGATGAAGACTAAGACTCTAAAAGCGATAGATATTTCATTGTCCTAATAATCCAAAGGTTATTCCAGGCCAATTACTATTAATTGCAATACCTCTAAAGTGCTATCTGAAATTTCATTGTCCTGACATTTTTCTTCTCCCTTCGCCCTTTTCGTTGCAATATAAAAGCTATCAAAAATTTAAATAATCACTTTTAAATGCATCCCCCTTAATTTTAAAATCAATAGAACTGAAATGTTACTAATATACCTGTCTGCGCAAAAGGCCTAGACTGCAAAGCAAAGGAAAAATTTGAATTAAATAATATTTATTGAAAACCAAATATGGACAATAAAGTTGTAATAGTACATCAACATTTGTCAAATAAATGTAATAATTTCAGTTGAGTACCTTTTTCTTTTTTCTTTCTTTTTTTTCGTTTTTTTCCTATTTTTTTCCTATTTTTCCTTTTCTTCCTTTTTTCCCTTTTTTTCCTTTTTCCCTTTTTTTTCCTTTTAAAATAATTTTTCTTTCTCTATTACCGATTAATATCAATGTTTTGTAATTATTTGAATAAACAATTCGGTGCT